AGAGACGGGGTTTCACCATGTTGACCAGGATGGTCTCGATCTCTTGACCTTGTGATCCACCCGCCTCGGCCTCCCAAAGTGCTGGGATTACAGGCTTGAGCCACTGCGCCCGGCCCTGGCTTTTTTATTTTTTTTTTGAAACTTGGTCTTTGTCACCCAGGCTGGAGTTCATTGGCACAATGATAGCTCATTGCTGCAGCCTCGAACTCCCAGGCTCAAGTGATCCTTCTGTTCCAGCCTCCCAAGTAGCTGGGACTACAGGCACATGTTACCATGCCTGGCTAGTTTTTAAAATTTTTTTATAGAAACGGGTCTTACCATGTTGACCAAGCTAGTCTTAAACTTCTGGCCTCTGGCCAGTTGTGGTGGCTCACACCTGTAATTCCAGTACTTTAGGAGGCCGAGGCAGGCAGATCACGAGGTCAGGAGTTCGAGACCAGCCCAGCCAAAATAGTGAAACCCTGTCTCTACCAAAAATACAAAAATTAGCCAGGCATGGTGGCATGCATCTGTAGTCCTAGCTACTTGGGAGGCTCAGGCAGGAGAATTGCTTGAATCCAGGAGGTGGAGGTTGCAGTGAGCCCAGATTGCAGCACTGCACTCCAGCCTGTGCAACAGAGTGAGACTCCATCTCAGAAAACAAACAAACAACTCCTTCCTCCTTGGCCTCCCAAAATGTTCAGATTACAGGTATGAGCCACCATATCCAGCCTCCTTAAGTCTTTCACATCATATATTGCTTTTAATATTAAACATTTTTTACTTTATGTTTGTGTTTCTTATTATTTTTTTTTTCTAAGACCAGGTTTCACCATGTTGGTCAGGCTGGTCCTGAACTCCCGACCTCAGGTGATCCGCCCTCCTTGGCCTCCAAAGTGCTTGGATTACAGGCGTGAGCCACCACGCCCGGCCTGTGTTTCTTATTTTTAAAAAATACAATGACTTACACTTGTTTTAAGAAAAAGTTGGCCAGGAGTGGTGGCTCACACCTGTAATCCTAGCACTTTGGGAAGTCAAGGTGGGAAGATAACCTAAGGCCAGGAATTTGACACCAACCTGGGCAACATAGTGAGAACCCCAACTCCATACACACACACAAATAGACATATATATATGGGGGGGGGGAGAAATTAGCCAGATGTGGTGGTGCATATCTGTAGTTCCAGCTACTTGAGAAAAATTAGCTGGATGTGGTGATGTGCGCCTGTAATTCCAGCTACTCGGGAGGCTGAGGCGGGAGGATTGCTTGAACCCCAGAGGTTGAGGCTGCAGTGAGCTATGACCACACCTCAAACAATCATATGATTGCATATATTATCCAGGCTGGAGTACATAATGATCACTGTCTCGAAAAAAAAAATTAAATTCTGGCAAAACAGTTCTCAGATAAAAACGTGACTTAGAAACATGGCTAAGTGCAAACAGATCGATTTACAGTTTTTCCTGTCTTTTCTTCCCCTTCTCTTTGGAAAGCCCCTCTTGTTTTGAGCTTTTTTTTTTTTTTTTTTTTTGAGATGAAGTCTCACTCTGTTGCCCAGGCTGGAGTGTAGTGGCGTGATCTCAGCTCTCTGCAATCCTCTACCTCCTGCTACCATGCACGACTAATTTTTGCATTTTAGTAGAGATGGGATTTTGCCATGTTGACCAGGCTGGTCTTGAACTCCTGACCTCAAGGGATCCACCCGCCTTGGCCCCCCAAAGTGCTGGGATTACAGGCATGATTTACGGTGCCTGGCCTTATTTTGAGCATTTCCTTTTAAGGCCTCAGGCTTCCTGGGAAATGCAGCCCAGGGTTTAGTTCAAGACAAGACTGAACTCTGTTCACCCCTCTCTGGCCTCCAAAGAGTTGTTGCCTGGCCACATGGTGGCAGGAAATGTAGAGATCTGGACAGGCTCCAAGGTCAAGGTGTTCTTTGAGTAATGGGCCTTAATCCCAGCAGGGTTCTCCAAAGACTTCCTGAGATAACAGGAAACACATGGCGCCATAGTCTGGCCTTAGGGGAAAAAGCCACTTAGAGTGGGCTAAATCAGGTCAGGTTGGCTGCCAAGCTCAGCCGTGGGGTAGAGGGCATGGGAACATGTCCCGGGCCTTGGGAGCCTCACAAAGGGTCCGCTGTACCCTCTCGCTTATTGGGGACAGGTGGGGTACCTGGGGCTGCCATCTGCTTCTGGTCCCAGGACCCCTCCCCAGGCATATGTCCCTGCCAGTGTACCAAGGGACATCCCCAGCCTGTGACCTATCCCAGGGCTGGCTGTGGGTCCCTGAGGTGACAGGAGCCCACAGTGGGGGCTGTGACAATGACTGTCTCTTTTCTTTAATGCTGATCTTTTTTCCCCTCAGAACTCAGCCTCCTCCCGAGCTCCCTGTGGGTCCCAACCACAAGCTCTCCAACAATTACTATTGCACTCGTGATGGCCGCCGTGAATCTGTGCCCCCTTCCATCATCATGTCCTCGCAGAAGGCGCTGGTGTCAGGCAAGCCAGCGGAGAGGTGAGGATCTCCAGTGTTGCTCACCAGATTCCCCACAACCCCCTCCTGTGACCCATTCCCTCTCCCCAGCTTGTGGAAAGGGTAGTTTGTCAAGATCCTACTTAGTAAGCATCAACTGTGTCAGGAACTGTGCTGCTGGGAGCTTTTTGTCCAAGAGCTTATATACTTGTTTTTAGAGACAGAGTCTTGCTCTGTCGCCCAGGGTGAAGTGCAACGGTGCAGTCATCGTTCACTGCAACCTTGAACTCCTGGGCTGAAGTGATCCTTGCCACCTTCTTCAGCCTCCTGAGTAATTGGGATTACAGGTTAATGCCACCATGCTGGGCTAATTTTTAAACGTTTTGTAGAGTAGGGTCTTGCTCTGTTGCCCAGGCTGTTCTCAAACTCCTGGGCTCAAGTGATCCTCCTGCCTTGGCCTCCCGAGTAGCTGGGAATACAGGTGAGAATCACCGTGCTCAGCAAGAGCTCATTTAGGCCAACCCAGGGCAGGGTAGAAGTTAGTGCCTCAGCCGGGACTGGGCATCCTACAAAACAGATGAAGTTCTGGGGTACCTCCAAGGGCCCTGTGAAAAGCTGAGACAATACAGCTTATATAATTATGTATTTTTCTTATTTTATTTATTTATTTAAGATGGAATCTCACTCTTGTTGTTTAGGCTGGAGTGCAGTGGCATGATCTCAGCTCACTGCAACCTCTACCTCCCAGGATCAAGCGATTTTCCTGACTCAGCCTCCCAAATAGCTGGGATTACAGGCGTGTGCCACCATGCCCAGATAATTTTGTATTTTTAGTAGCGATGGGGTTTTACCATGTTGGTCAGGCTGGTCTTGAACTCCTGACCTCATGTGATCCCCCGGCCTCAGCCTCCCAAAGTGCTGGAATTACAGGCATGAGCCACTGCACCTGGCCATATATTCTTCTTAGAGAATTATATAAACCCTGGGCTCCTCTCAAAAACTAGTTTGGTTCCTGGTTTCAGTTGCCTTCTCTTAATTAAATGGGGACTGTAATAGTATCTATTTCAGAAAGCTATTACAAGGGTTAATCCTCTTTTTTTTTTTTTTTTTTTTT